ATCTGAAGTGAACTGTTGAAACATTTTGGTGGCTTCAAACGTCACTCACAGAGATAAACCCCATCCTTTCCCCCCGCCCCCAATGATGTGAAAAGACCTTATTTATTATGGCGTAATGTTTTCCCATTTCAGTCCACGTGTCATTTCCTATATTATCCTTTATTGCGCAAGAGAAGACAAATGAATATGGATACAACTCAAAGTCTTCATGTATTCTCAAGAAAATGATACGTGCATGGTCTGTGATGCAGCATGCAACGAATAAATTCAGTCTGTTCCAGCTCCCATTTCATCTTTTCAAGACCCTGCTGCAAGGAGCCGGTATTAGATCAATCTTGGCACATTTCTGGCGAAAGCGCGGAAAATATTTCCTGGTGGTGCGTAGTGCGCCACGATGAAGGTGTAGGTATACCCTTGTCTCGATACTGCAGCGATTCCAACACCTACTTTAGTGGAGGACTTCCAGATAAGCTGGGRAGGAAGAATGAGGTGAGGTTAGATATCTTGAAGAAAAAGCACTATAGCTAGGGCCTGTTTTCATATACAGCTAATTCAAAAAAGGTTGGTACGGTTTTGTTGCATGTTGCTTTTGTTGCATAGAAAGCTTGAGTATCGTGGATCATATGTAAATGAATAATGTAATATTAATGCCTTTATTTACACTACATTATTACAATATTACAAACAAAAACGAAAAAAACAAAACAACAACAAACAAACAAACAACGAAAACAACAACAAAAATAAAAACGGCATAAAAAAACTTGCAGGCAAAGTTTGGAGAAATTCCATATTGTTATGACCTTTCGCTGGTTGGATTCACATAGCCCAAAACCTTCACCAACCTTTTAAAAGAGCTGTATAAATATAAACCCAGTTACTCGACACGTACCTGTGTAAAATGCTGTGCTCTGGAGCTGAATCGAGGCCTGTTGAAGTTGTAGTATTTCATTTGGCTGTACCTAAAGATAAGGATTATAGCAAAGGATTATTCCTGTTAAACAAGTTTCAAACAAGTTAAACGAACAAGAGGACCGAACCTGGAGTCAGCGGTGATGGTACWGATAAAAATAAATAATAAATAAATAAATATCTTTATTTAAGTGTCTAGTCGTTCTAGCGCTCAGTTCGCACTAATTGGGGACACTTTTCGCTCACACGCACAACCACTTCATTCAATATTCTATGCACACAACGTTCAACTCAACTCATGATCGAAGGCGGTTATGAAATACGTTAAATAGAAGTCCTTTAATTTTCAAGGCGCGCGGTTTACCGTCACAGATAGAGCCCTGACACAACGTCTGCACTAATCAAAGTCAGGGCAACTMACTTACAGATCAAACCCTGACACCCTGACAACCTGAGCTGATCAAAGTCAGGACAGGACTAACTCACAAATTGGAATTCCGCTTGCCGGGTTTTGCGGAGGGAGTAAAACCAAAGAACTAGGAGGAATCCCCTTGAATCAAGGAATGGAACTAAACCCCAGACATATAAGTTGTACACTTACCACCACTGTACAGCATCCGTACACGATGCGACCGTACCAGGAGGGGACGTATACTTATAAAAACTATTTTCACGATATCCACTTCTTCCATTCCCTGGACTTGCTCGCATCTGAACTCTCGGTTTCTTTGCGAGTGTTAACGCCCAACTTGCTGCTGCTGAAGCCAAGGACACATCCCATTTGAGGTTTGGAACGCCGTGGAGGGAGCGCTTGGCGTTGTGAACATTCAGGCAATCATTTACGTTAACTAAATATCCATAATTAGACGATAAGAATAAGAACAGAACGTAGATCTTTATCAGTAGTGCTAGATCTAACATGGGATAGCAGTGTTCTGGTGATGACGTATACTTACATGTTGTCACCTGTGGGGTTGAGTACGGTACTGCATCAGCTAAACAAGAAAAAGAAGAAGAAAAATGTTTGAAATCTAAAAACAAAATGTCCCAAATATATTCCCAATTTGCCCGAAATCAAATCTGGCGGATGATGATCGCGTGATCTTTCAGTAAGCGCGCATATTTCTACCTATAGACTTTTTATTATCACTTTGAAAGCTCATTCCCTAGTCACCCCCGCAGCTGTTCTTAGCGTCTTCACACAATAATGGGACGTTGCGTSACGACAATAAGAACGGCTGCGGGGAAGACGACTATGCATTCCCTTGACCGTGCAAAATTCTTTGCTTGAGTTTCATCAATAATAATGTGCATTAGTGCGATCTGTTTTTGTTTGCAGTGCACATTTATTTTGTTAGCAGTATTTTAATTTGGTTTGCTTTGCGTTGTCCCTTTTGGGCCACCGTAAAAATGAACTCACTTGAGCAATCTCTGCAAGGACCTTTGCTGAGAAGGTTTGGTACATTAGCAGCGAAGGTGCCATAGATGTTCCCAGCCGGTGCGTAGCGAGCCACGATAAACGTGTAGGTATATGTCTTCCTAGTAACCACAGCGATACCAACACCTACTCTTGTAGATGACTTCCACAGGAGCTGTAACAAAAGTGAAGGTAGCTGATGTTATCGGGCTTGCTAGCAATATACGTCATTTCCGGTCACGTGAGAAACTTTTAATCGACTAGTTAAGACTGATTTCCTCGTGAAAGTCCTATCCAATAAACCTCTTGCAGTACATAGGAATGTAACTCAATTTAGAGGAAACAATATAATTTATAATAGGTTTCCAATTCTCAGTTRAAATTATTTTGTTTTGTCCCCCAAATTGAGCACTTTTGACGTCACGCTCAAGAGGTCTATTCTCCCAGCCTAGATATTAGCAAATCCCAGTAACCGATAACGTTTTGGTAAAACCATGGTAAAACCAAAAGTCGATAGAACAATACTCAAGGGAGTCAGAAGTAACGTGTATGCCGTACAACTGACTTAGGGCGCGGGTTTATCTTAAGAATTACCTGCGTGAAATGTGACGCCTTGCGCTTGAAACCCGGGTTTTTGAAGTCGTAATACTTGATCTCATCATACCTGAGAACGAGAATTAAGAAATGAGTTTTTTTTTTAATTTCCAGTGAGGCTTTATAAGTTTTATCGATACCCTAAAACAGCCTCTGGRCTGATTAATGTTAGGTCATGGCARCCTCACGGATCGAATTRGAATCAAGGTTAGGTTTYACCACAGAGAGAGAAAAATYGGAGACCTAACAAACCTAACAAAGAGACATAACAAACTCTACTCTAATGTGATACCGAGTCCAGGAATCGAACCCGAGAGCCCATAGTATGAGAGGGGAGTGAACTACCGTTACATGGACCACCCTTGATGAAGCTCATTAAATAAACCAGGTATCAAGAGGTCYGATGGGAAAACATTATATGCCCACGTKAAGTAAAAAGCAGGGGCGGATCCGGGAATTTTAAAAGTAGGGCGGCGACTATCATCAAGTTTCTATGCAGGAATTCGAGGAAAAGGGGGGTGACTGTTAGTAACGATATACTGAGAAATTTGACCAAAAGGCGGGTGACTAGTCGCCTATCTTACCACCCCTGGCTCCGCCCCTGAAACGAACTATAACATTTAAATTTACCATCTGGCAAGGAAGCGCAAACTTGGTTGCCTGTGTGTTATTTTCATACTTACCATGACTGGACACCATGTGCACATGACGTCACAGTCCCAGGAGGAGCGGCATATCTGTAGTAAATATTTTCCCGGTAATTCCCACCGTTTCCTGGACTGGGTCGAACTCGAAGCGAGACRTCCTTCGCAAGGGTGAGGGCCCARGCTGCTGCTCCTGAAGCCAAGGACGCGTCCCAACGGAGGCCTGGAACACCATGCAGGGCGCGTTTGGCATTGTGGGCGYTAAGGCAACCACGTGTGCTGACTAAGAGAGAAACATGTTATAGATTAATATGCAGTTTTATATGGAGTTTTACGTGTAAAAGAAGAAATACAGAGAAGGTATCTATACAAATAATTCTAGATTTACTTCAATATATTTAGATTTACCGCTTTAACTGTCATAATGATAAAGAGTTTATTTATTTTTCTCTCAGCACGTAGTCGAGTTTTATATTAAAGTTATGCATGCATSAGAGAAGCGGAGAATTTTCAGATTTCACAGTGACAAATAAACTAATAAGTTAACCCTGAAACAACYTCTGGGCTCTAACTCAGGTTTTGCAGTTTTCAAAAGCGAGATTCATGGAGAAAAAAAACTCAAATCATGGGAAAGACCCAAAAAATTCCTATCACATGTAAGGCCGAGTATTAATCCAAGACTGAATGAAAAACTGAGCAATCAAAAACTATGGCTAAATTCGGATGTAATTTGAGGAAAAGAAGGATTAATAACTGTCTTATATGATTAGTATTACTTACATGTGTAGATTTGAGGCTTTAAGTACGGTATTGGAGCCGCTAAAGAACGAAAAACACCACAAATTTACATCACAATATTTATCACAAGAAACCTGTTGCTGTTCAGCCGTAGAAGGTAATAAATCCACAGGAAGCCCACCTACATTTGCAATTTAAGTCAGGTACGTTTGTAGCGAAGGTTCCCCGAACATTTCCGGCAGGTGAGTAGTGAGCTACAACGAATGTGTAGGTGGAGGGACCCCTGGTATGTGCTGCCATGGCAACGCCGACCTTAGTAGATGTCTTCCAGATTAACTGTAATATAAATGGTTTTGAGTTTGAGTCAGTTTTTTTGAGATATTTATTAGTATTTATCTGATTTCGGTCCGTTCGAGACTTACCTGCGTGAAATGTGATGATGGAAGACTGTATCCAGGGCGATTGTAGTTGTAGAATCGTATTTCGTCATACCTGATGCGCATTAGAAGAACATTTGTAAAATATCGCTGTCATCCTTGATCACAGACTCATTAACACAGGGTTAGCCTCGTATCAGTGTCTAAATATTCACAAATACCAACGGCGCGGAAAAGTAAAGAATGCACAGCTTCAACGATACACACACTTTGTAATTCCACAGACCTTCACTGGAACACATTAACACCATACACAGACTGAATCGAAGCTTATTCTGAGCAACAGATATTATAGACAATTATATATGAAAGTATTCGGAACCATATGTCATTCTCTTTATTATTATTTCTTTGTTTACTGGTAACACATGAGTATACAAATTAAGGGATTCAGCACGATGCTTACTTTAAAATAAATAAAAACTTAAAAATTGGGTCCATAGACTCGTCTTCATATCACAATTCATTCCTTTCCCTCTCTCCCCTCCTTAGTACTCGTTTTCGTACTCACCACCACTGGACAGCATCTGCGCATGTGCCTAGTGTCCCACCAGTGAACTTGTAGTAAATATTTTCACGGAATGTCCCGCCATTTCCTCTACTGTGTTCCATACCAACTTGAGGTTTTCTGGCATGGTAAAGCGCCCAGGCTTCCGCTCCGGGTACTAGGGAATCGTCCCATTGAAGGTCTGGTACGCAGTGTAAGGCGCGCTTTGCATTGTGGGCAACCAGGCAAGCAGTTTTGTTGACTGGAGTCATAAAAGTATAMATCGTTATTCAACAAAAGATCCTATCTATTTCGGGATAATGTCTTTCTTTTCAGACAACGTGTCAATGTACCTTGAGAATGAGCATTCTTTGTTTGAGTATCGTTGTTTATATTGGTAAAGAAAGACATGGTACTCAAGGGATTGACACATCTGTGATGTGAAAACAACTGTTTGGGTATAATGCTAAAAAATTTATTTCACTTACTCGGGATGAGTTGAGGTGTTGAGTAAGAAGCAACTGCAACCAACAGAAATAAATGTGTTAGAGTAGCCTCGTTTCCGTATTGAACGGGTTATTGAGGAGCGTGAGCAGGGGCGGAGTGAGAGGGGGAGAGGAAGAGGAAGAGGTAGGCTAACCAAGGGATAGGTCTTGTATTTAGCATTGACCGTTTGAGTACATAGTTTATTGATGCATAGTTTATTGATAGGCTGAAGAGTACATGACGAAAGAGAAGCCTTTATGACGTCACGGCGTACCGTGTACGTGATCTTAGTCAGAATTTTCAGAAGGTTCAATGAAGTTAAATATCTTTAGCTGAATATCATTTAAGCTTTTTATCATTAGGACCTATTACTTTCATCACATTTAGGGGCTTATGTATGTTATGACCCATCTACGTGACGTAGTTTTGATATAAGGATCATATAGTTCTGTGACTACGTGCACAATTTACCCCACCCCTCCCCCCTGTCTACACAACGACCATTTCAACAGTAGTGCTCTTTATACATAAGTATCAATAAAACAAAATACGTAAAAAACGAATTTGAAGAAGCAGAAGGTCAGAGAATGATAACATGTAGACAAACTAGCATTATCGGCATACGTTTCGTAGCAATGTAATTTAAGAACTACGTATACGGATTTAAAACTAAACCAAGTACAGTCCGTACAAACTATCGAGCGTCTTAGGTAAAGCAGTGAAGACAAGAAATAACTTACCAGCTAGATCACCAATAGCCACACAAGTAACGACAAAAAGCCACACTGATATTAGAATCATTTTAGACTCTGCTCGTGATCATGAGAAGTGACCGCGTTTGTTGAACTCTAGAGGAACTGGCGATTTAGTTAGGCAAATGATAGATATAATGAATGGATGGCAGTGACCTCTAAAGATGTGACGAAATATCCGGTGTTGTTCGATGGGAAGGAGTCGTATCCTGTGTGTCTTGTATTACCGTTAATGTTCCTGTTTATCCATCTACCTAGGGGGAGGGGGGGGTGAGAAGATATTATCATCCTGTACATATTTCAGCTCCCTCCCTTAGGGGCAGGGGGCGAGGATGTTTGCTTGTATTTGGTCTGGAAGAAATTTTTGTTGTCATCATTTGTATTCTTCTTCCCCTCTTTCTCTTCTCTCATTCCTGATTGATAAAAACCCTAGCCACATGATTAGCAACTTCGAAGTAATGGAGATTGTGAGCTCAATCATGTTATGTTATAGAGCTTTTAAAAGTAACTGTCGTCACTCGTTTGGAAAAATGTCTTTTGGGTTATGAAAGAAGTTTATAAAGATTCATCATGTTACTTTTTCTTCAAAAGCCCTTTGTTTTTTCATAGTATTTGATACTCAACATTTAAAAAAATTCTATATGTTGTTCCGTTTTGGAAAACGTCCAGGTAAAAGTCATGATTCTTTTCCGGGGGGTTAACCATGTCTGTCTATCAGCCAGGAAACGGATGTACACGTGCGTGATTTATAATTCCTTTCGAGTCCTCTGTTGCTCAGGGTTAGTCTGGCTTAACTTTACTTTGAGTAGTATATCACTTCGGAATGTACCACGTCAGTGGCAGCTAAAAAAACTTGCGATATTAAAACAAATAACAATGAGGTTGGGAATACAGGGAATTTTAACTAAACCCTTCTAATAACTAGTTTGATAATCGGAACAAAGGCAACAAAATGAGAATCATTTATAACCCAATACCAATTTTTATTTTTGAAGTTTCCTTAACTAGTCATTTAGCTATCTAGACTAGTCTTGGAACATTTGCAGCAAAATATCCTGGCATGTTCATATTTCCAGGCGGCGAGTAACGAGCCACCACGAAGGTGTACGTGAAACCATTCCTGGTGACTGCAGCGATACCAACACCTACTTTGGTAGTTGACTTCCACACGACCTGAAGGAAATAAATTGTAATGTAAGGTAGCTCCTTGGAGGTTTTTTTGACCACACCGTATGAGTTTAACTTTGACAAAATTCGCAGTCATGGGTTGATCATGTCAGTTTAACCCAGATGTTTGACGAGGTGAAATGTGCTTCTAGATCATAAAAACAAATCATTACGGTTATCGGTTTAACCAAACCAAGGGCGGATCCAGGGGTGCAAAGGGGGGCTGAAGCCCACCTTCAGCAGAAAAAAAAAACGATTCTTTTTTATATTGTTTTCCGTTGTGTTGACGGAAGAAACTCAATTAGCCCCCCCCCCCCTAAAATTTTGGCTGGATCCGCCCTTGCAAACACACACCTCATGCGAGATTATGGCTCATCCAAGTAAGTCACGAAATCTTCATTGTAGGTGGAAGCTGTATATCACGCCAGGTAGTTAGTCTCAAACAGGGGCGTAGCGAGGACCTAGGAGCTGGGGAGCACTGACCCAAAAAAAACTCCTCCCCGCATAAAACAAATAAACGAATAAACGCGCAAACAAAAAAGAAACAAATTCGTATTCGTATAAACTGATTTATACAGCGCACTTTCTTAGGTTGCAATGATTTATTTCCCTCTTTCGTTTTGGTTTAATATGTTTTTTGTTTTTTTGTTTTTTTTTTTTTTATTTTTGGTTGTTTTTTGGTTTCCCCGTGCCCCCCCCCCCTCGCTACGCTACTGGTCTCAAAGTCATTGTGACAAAATCGTGTGTTCGTTTCGCAAATTCTTTTTATAGCAAATTTAGACACTTTCATTTYCCCCAAATAATTACCTGTGTGAAATGTGCTGTGTTTGAGCTGAACCCTGGTCTGTTGTAGTCATAGTCTTTTATTTCGGCATACCTGGCAAAAGATRCTTCAGTTAGAATTACACGTTCCTAGTTCTTCTCTGCCAGGGATCCCAACGTAAAATAAATGGGGTAACCTGCGGAGGAAGCTGAAATTTTCCATAATTCACCATGTTTCTTTTCTTGGACAGGTTTTCCTTGAACTTGAAGCATGCACTCGTATTTCAGCCCTGGGGCAAACCATGGTCAGTAGTCGCGTCATTGTAACCATAGTTTACTTACTATGCGCAAACTTTGTATTTTGACAAAGCGTGACAACCCTCAAAATGGCGTAAAACTTGGCAAATGACGTAATGCTTTCTTCAACAAATCTTCCTTAGAGCTAAATTTCGTTAGACGTCATATTGGATCGATCTTGCACCCAGTGCTTCCGGCTCCTCTTTGGAGAGGGACAAAAACGAGTAGCTCTGGGTACGACGGAGATTGATATGGGATACAAAACGATCTCACTTACCAGGAACCAACAGCTGCCTCGCAGTTTGATACCTTTCCAGCAGGCCATTCGCCTTTATAATAAATATTTTCACCATATGAGCCAGTACTGTGCTCCAATACTACTCTAGTTTTTTTTGCAAGATAGAGGGCCCAGTCTCCTGCTCCAGAAGCCAAGGAAGAGTCCCACTGGAGGTTTGGGACACCATGTAGAGCACGCTTGGCATGTGGGCACCCAGACATTGGGCTATGTTAACTGATATAATTGTGAAAGGAAAAAAAGTTGGCATTATTTCTTTTGATTAAGCGAATGAACAAACGAGTAAATGAGTGAATGATTGAATAGTTRAACGCCTAATGACTGAGTAAAGTTGCTAAGAATATGTCGGTGAAAAAGATCGCCAACTAGAACCGCGATTTTTATGCTTTCTTGACTCTTCTTAATTAACATGAAAACTAAAACTCTTCTGTACAGTTTCTGCACTTACCTGACAAGATTTGAGGCGTCAAGTAGGGAGTTGGTGCAGCTATATGTGGATTAGAATAAGATAAAAATTGTGTGAATATCAATTGCAAGTTGCTCAATAGTCTAAAGCCTCGTTTACACTGGCGATTTTTGCTGCGATATTTGTGGCAATTTTTCGGAAATATGAAATCTTTTTTCTCATCCTTCAAATGAAACATTCGTCTAGGAAAATCTTGGTATCCTGAAAAAAACTTTACAAGTAAATTCTTTACCATTATTTATTATGGACAAAATCGCAAAAAAATCGCAAAAAAATCGCTAGTGTAAACGGGGCTTAAATCCTTTGAAAACTAAATGTAAACGTATAAACTTTTAAACTCCAGAAACTCAGTTAAACTCATGAACTCCAAACTCCAGTTTCACCGTATTCACCATTTTCCATACATTGGTTGACTGGTCAAACACAAAGCGCTCAAGCAAGGCGCCAAGGTACTTTCAAAGGATTGATTCAAATTTAAACCTTACAACCTCGACTGAATGCTTTGTATTTGACCAGTGTAYCGATGTATGGAAAATGGTGAATGGGAGACGGACACAGTTTATCAAAACCACAATGCCGGTGGCATAGCCGATGTGCACTGGTGTTTCGTGTTACACGTGTAGAGTTGGTTCGTTGTCTGCAAGGGCGGATCCAGGGGGAGGGTCGGGGGGGTCGCGATCCCCCTGTCATTCCTGAGGTCAAATGGGCTTCTTGTGGTAAAAATGCGACTGGGATTCCTTTGCCCACAAAATTTACCCTTGAGACCCCCCTTCAAAAAAGCCCTGGATCCGCCCTTGGTCTGCCTTGATTAACGAGAGTATATTTTCGCGGTTTTCATTCCTACCCAAACCTTAACAATCTAAATTCCCATTCGATTTGTGAGATCGCTATGTGCTGAATTATAGATCAGGTTTTTCAAGGTTTCAATACGATCGAAGAACATACCTTTACAGACATTGCAAGTCTCTTTGCAGTTGCGTGTCATCCATTGGCGAATATTATTATAACTGGATTGACAGTTTTTAGCCCAAAATTTGCACTGACCGTATTCCCTGTAACCAACCTGACATTCTACGAAAGGGAATAAGATAAGAGGTTTTTTTTTGAACTGAGTAACTGTCATTACATCTATTATATTTGGTAGCCTTTACTTTCCTTCACTAATTCCTCTACTGAGGGCGTTTTGCAAAAATGCAAGAAATGCAGGCAGGCAGGCAGGCAGGAAAGAAAGAAAGAAAGAAAGAAAGAAGAGAGAAAAAAGAGGATGAGGGAAGAACAGAAGTTATACAAGCAAAAACGCACTCCCGTAGACATGTGGCAGTGTAACGTTAAGTTGACCAGAAAGGAAAGCCATCGGAAATAAAAGTAAAGAGAGAGAGAGAGAGAGAGAGAGAGAGAGAGAAGGAAAGAAGAAGGAAGGGAAAGAACGAAAGAGTGAATGATGGAAGGAAAGAAGAAAAGAAATGCATCTGCTAATTTTGAGGCTAAATGAAACAACATTTGACCAGCTTACTTGGTATCCTCTTCTCAACGGGATTTGCTGCAGTCATGGTAACGAAGAAACATACCAGCAGTACAGCAGATTCTTTCATCACCGTATCTTTTCTTCACAAAGCTCAAGCGTACTTCAGTCTTATTTGGTGGCAGAAGCGAGTGAGGTGGGACCAATGCATGAGTCGTTTTATAGAAAAAAAACTTGAGAAAACTCCAAGTGCTACAGTAAAAAGACGTACTGATGAAGGTACTGTAGTTTCTAAAAAGATTAATTGGCATAACAAAACTGAATTGAGTTAAATGACGGGGCATTAGAGTCGAAAAGACGCAAATTGGAGAAAATTCAGCGCCGAGCACGCAATTCTAGTGAGACGGCAGACATGAACTGGCGGCAGAAAACCAGCAGTAGGACTTTTTCAATATCCCTCATCAGTACAACAATAAGGTTCATGTAGCCGGCTATGAATAAACGTCAAGCTGATAAGCTTTTATGCATGTTCGGGCATAGAAACAGAATGGTATGACAATGACTATGAATTAGGCTCGACTACCTGAGATAAGATGAAGTTATTATTCATTTTCTCGTTATCATAAGATGGGAACATCAGATGGATTGTCAGCAATATTATAATCGTTCGTTCACGTCTAGAAACAGGAGTAAGTAACACTTAAGTTTTCAGATTTCCTCTTAATAAAAATTCTGAAACTTTCGGTCAGTGCCTTGCATGTGTACGCCCTTAAAAAGGTCGTTAGCTGATGAAGTGATAATCAAKGGCATTAAGTATACAGTGTGAATGCCGACTAAATTAGGTTCATTAGGTTTTGTTTCATGGTGGTAACATCATCGATCGATAATCGAAATCTTATTTGCACGGCACGATAAGATTGGCCTGAAATCAGTTCTGGGATCGCTTCATTTTTGAATCAAGCATAGATTGCGTTATGAAGACGGCTTTCGACTATGAAGCCAAGMTTAGGACTATCACCTTTTTCTGTACTGAGTTTGGTGCCGAAGCAGCTGTTAATTTAATTCCTTTGATCATTATATTGTCGTTTTTGCAGATTCTATAGTAACTCATTTATTATTGAATATAAAAGATTAAATTAGATGGATATCAACTTATAGCTGAATGTAGTTTGGGACGGCAGAACTTCGTCAGTTTCAGTGAACGATTTTAGTTATTCAGTTCAGTTCAGGCTCAGTAAATGTAATAATATGAACTTTTTTTAACCGATTCCATAATAACGGCAAAAAATAACTAGTTCATATTCTCTTGTCTCTGATTATGAATGCTGATTGATTGGATGTAATTAGGTTGGATCGAGTTGGGAAATTCAAATCTGGCCGTGCAGTCGTATTTATCACTTCAGTTACCTGAGTTTCTAAGAAGAGAACTATCTTCGTGTTACGAGAAACAGCTGTAGACTGGYTCGTAATGTCTGTAAAAATACCTGACTCAGTGGCTTGTTAAGTCTCTAAAAATCTAAAAAGTAAAACATGATGTCAAATGACTTGAGTATACACTGAGATCGCTCATTAAAAGTGCGGATTGATTGGATGAATTTTATTCTATTCATTTTATTTTATTTTATTTTATTTTATTTAGAGTGCACGCACCAAACCCGTGCACAATAAGTAGACTGATTAGCACGACTATTTCATACAGAATACTTCGTTTTCTAGTTGCTTGGTTATCACTATTTAGTGCTAAAAATTAGTATTAGTTTCACGGGTTTAGTGCGAGCACTCTATTAGCTTTACGACTGGTACTTATGAAAAAGAAAAAAGAAAAAAAAAACTATAGTTGAGGGAAGAACATTAACAGTACAAGAGTTCCATATAAAGTTCCTCCAAAAATAATAAAACTGTGTAATTGGCTTGGATCTTGCATCATAAATCTGTCGTCAGTATTTACCACTTTACGAACCACAGTACAGTTTCCTACCCTGCGTAGCGGCCCAAGTGGGGAGGGGAGGGGGAAGGGGTGGGGGCCTTCCTTCCTTCCGCCACAGGCCCCCCACCCCTCCCCTCCCCACTTGGGTCGCTACGCAGGCTACAGTTTCCAAGAAAAAACAAATTGGCTAATATAATATKAATAGACTTATACATCCTAATACATATCGAATGGAAGGGTATCGAAGTGGAACATGTGCTGACCAAGAGAACGTGGGCTCTGGGTAYGACATTCAAAGCARATATTGGCAGGTCACGTGCCCCGGTCTTAGTAGCCATCTCATGTGTTGGGCTTCCTGTGTYAGTCCCCTCGAACGTTTCCCACACGTTCAACGACAAACAACAGCTACAAGAAGAATGATTGATTATTATCTGTAAAATGTCTCTATTTTATTGAGCAATGAAGGACTACTGGACTCCTATTGCTACGCTTACTATGTTTTTTGATGGTATGCTCAAATATCAGGCTGTCCAATGCTTCTGCACTCGAGTTTTCCTCAGGTATATTGAACAACACGTGTAGCTCTAAATACTGTCATTTAGCAATCAGATTTCTCTACATGGATATCCATCGACTTAAAATGAAATGTTTGGTTTCATTTTGTGACTTTCGTGAACCTTGTTTTAATTTCAGTGACAAAGATCTCGTGAATTATAAACCGGACGAAAATGGACCTTGTGACAGCGTGGAATATGATGGAAAAGAAGTAAAGACAGAACAAGAACAAAATCAGGTTGGTATTGGTATTGGTATTGCTTTGGCACATAGTATGGAGATGGAGAGCTCCCCTTACCAACTTTTTGTTAATGTCAACTACAGTATACAACCCCCCCAACTCCCCCCTAAATACACAAAATTTAAGGGAGCTMTTCATCCTTCTAATCAGAGATATTTCCTTTGAAAGTGAGTTTAGTTTTTTTCTTTGCCTAGAAAATTGGGGGTTAATCAGTTTAACAAATCTACCTGCTTTCTGATTGGCTGTTATTTAAACATTGTGAAGACTCTGCTGAAAATCCTTGGGGGGAGGGGCGGGCACTGCAAAAAATCACAACAATAACTTAATAACAGTAATAAAAATTGAGTTTATGCATTTATAGTTCATGTGAACCAATATTCCATGTGTCCCCCAAGCCCCCACCCCTGTTCCRCCACCCCTGGGTATAAGTGTGATTCCAAATCTAATTAAAATTCCTCTTCATCATTAAAGGAGGGAAACACAAACTCCCATCARGGGGTCGTAAATTCAGACATCAGCTCAGAAGAAGATGATGATGACAATGTGATGATGACATCTCTGGATCATCGGAAAGCAAAGGCTCTTGCTAAAGCTCCATATATCCATCATATGGAAGAACCAGATGAGCTGGCAGCAGAAGAGCTGAAGATGATGTATAAAATGGGGTTACCAACTTGCTTTCTTAACTCACCGAGAGCCTTAGACTCTGATGAAGATGAGGTTGGTTGTATATGAAAATATATGTTGTCTAATAACTAAGCCGGATTGATTAATTAAAGTTTTACATTTTAACTCTTAACCCTTTCACTACTAGAGCGGCCAAAAGCGGTCGACAAGAAATGCTACATTTTTCCTAGAGCTGCCAAGAGCGGCCAGCTGAAAAACTTTTTTGCTTTTCATTTACCTGCCCCTAGAACATTTCTGTGTTGAAACATGTAGGCTATTGTTTTTTGAATCATTAACCAATCAGATTCTATCAACTGCTTTGATGTATCTTATGAGGTCTCAATATCTAGTGAGCATATGTTTTTCATTTTGATATTGAGAAATAAAAAAGATCCTAATTATGTTCCAGGAAGAGCCTGTGTTGGACCCTTTTAGCCTCTAGTAGTGAAAGGGATAATTAACATTTTTGACAGTATAATTTGTTTTTTTCTTCTAGGATATTCCTAGTTCAAGTTCRATCCAGAGAAAAGGGAATTGCAAGAAGAGAAGAGGCAAGAGACGTGGCCAAAGGAGTCAACAGAAGATCTCTTCACATCCTTTTTATGAAAAGGGAGAATTATTCAATGGAAAGGTGCACGAGGCTCCTATGCCAGGAACCTGGCAGARTTTAGGTGGTGAAGACAATGACAAAGCTAAGTCTGAAGAAAAAGATTCATTCAGTGTGGTTTTGAAGARTGGGATTACTTTATCTCAAAATAAAGATACATCGAAGCCTGRAGACATTTCAAAATCATTTGCAACCGTAGAGGAAGAGATTTCTTCAAACGCTGTGGCTAAAGTGAAAGAATGTGACTCTTATGCAACAGATGAAAAAACTTTCAATACAGTTACAAAGGCTGCTGAAAATCTATGTACTTTGGACAAAAATGAAGCTATACAATCTGAAGAAAAACTCTCTTCTGCTACAGATGAAGATAATATGCACCATACAGAAATGAAGTCTGACAAAGATTTAGTATCTCATTCAGATTACACTGTAGAAATATTACCAGTTTCAGGACATCAGGACACCAAATTGGAAACTCTGGCGGCAGATAATCATGGTCATAATTCAGATGGTGATGTTGAGGATCTTCATGTTTCTGACTTAGACCTCTCAGAGACAAAAGAAATGAAAGGCATGCAACTAAATAACCTAGAAGAATTTGAGGATGAACAATATGTAGAATCTGTAGRAGGATGGGAAGAATATTGGAGATATTATGGATACTCGTTGGTCTGGGAAAGTTGGGTTGCRAATCAGGATGAAAGTCATCAAGCACCGTTGTATGTTGCAACCAGAGAGGTAGACGATTCTTCTGCAGACGAGAATAAGAAGAAAGATGTTAATGAAAATAAAAATGAAAATTTGAAAGATGMTGCTGAAATGGGATTTAGAGAGATACCTGAAAATGCCAAGAATGGTAGTGTTTGCTTAACAGATTCTGATAAAGGAGAATCAATGACTAAAGAAATGAACTGTGATGAATCAAAATTACATATCAATACAAATGATGATAACTTTAAAGCTTCTGATGGAAAATCAGATGATTTACAATCGAAGTGGGCACAGCATTACAATGATGTTTACTCATATTATCACGAACAATACAAGCATTGGAAAAGTCAGGGTTATGTTTTTGATGTTCCTAATGATGATTCAAAGAAAATAGCAAAGGACAGCGATAACTTATTAATGAAAGATGTAAGTTTTGAAGAGCAGAATGATGCAGTAAGCTGTGGTTCTGGAAATAAAAGATCCAAGAAGCAAAGGGGTAACCAAACTAACAGTGGTACTGGATGTAATAGTGCAGCAACTTGTACAACAGTAAATAGATCCCATACAGAAAGTAAAGTTCAGAGTGTGAATGGATCAGATGATGATGATTCTGATCAACCAGAAGAAAGACCCAAAAGTTTAAAGAGGGGCCATGAGTTGGACTTTGAAGAACAGCGTGCCGAATGCCTCAAAAAAGCATACAGATTAATGGGATTCAAAGTCTCTGATCCCAGAGCTGCGAATTTCAAAGCTCTACCGAAGTTCAGGTATGGTAAAGTTAAGTACCAGACAAAGAAACTGCAAGCTAAGAGCAAGAARCTTTATATTAATCAAAAACCAAAGGCAGGGATTCAAGAAGAAAAGCTCTTGCAGCAAGTGAAAGATTTTCTTAAWAGAAAAGAGACGAGCACTTCAAGTTCTTCTAGTGAGTTGCCGTCCAGTGCTAGTGATTCTGAAGATGATGGTAGTGATGTTAAAGCTACTGAAAATCTTGAGAAGAATTTATGTGGGAAGGATATGACTTCAGTTGAAACAATGGGTGAGGAGAATGGGGACAATAAAACGAAACTGAAAGGGAAAGATGTTGTTCTTGAAAACAGATCAAATGAAATATCTGGATCAAGTGCTTTCTCACTGCCAGATTTAGATATGGAATCACAAAGACAAGACCCTGCAGTTGCAAAATACTGGTTCCAGCGCTATCGTCTGTTCTCTCAGTTTGACAAAGGCATAAAAATGGACAAAGAAGGCTGGTATTCAGTAACACCAGAGCGCATAGCTGAACACATTGCAGAGCGCTGCAGGTGTGACCTGATTATTGATGCCTTCTGTGGTGTTGGGGGAAATGCTATCCAGTTCGCTTTTACCTGTGAAAGAGTAATTGCAATAGACATAGATCCTGTGAAGATTGCATGTGCTCAGCATAATGCAAAGATATATGGAGTGCAAGACAGAATTGAGTTTATCGTTGGAGACTTCATGCAACTTGCAGGTAGTTTACAAGCAGATGTCGTCTTTCTCAGCCCACCATGGGGAGGCCCAGGTTATACGAAATCTGAGGTTTTTGACATACAAACCATGATTTCATTGGATGGWTTTAAACTGTTTGAAAAAGCTAAGGAAATCACTGAAAATGTCTCTTATTTTTTGCCCAAAAATACTGATGCTGAGCAGATGGCATCCTTAGCTGGTCCTGGGGGGAAGGTAGAAATTGAACAAAATGTTGTGAATAAGAAGTGCAAAACTGTAACAGCCTACTATGGGCATTTGATTTCAGAGTCTTCTTAATGCATAGAACCTCAGAAAACYCTCCATAAGGACAATTTTACCAACATAAAATTTGTATGAAATTTTATTGTTTTTTCCCTTCTTAACTTTAATTTTTAGGTTGATTTTACATGAACAATAAAAATTCTTTCATTGAAAAAAGGCCTTTCATTATTTATCAGACATTCCCATTTTTGAATGGAATATAATTATATTCCTTTTTACTTTGGGTGTAATGTTTTCCCATTTCAGATCACGTCATTCCCTTGAGAATCCTTTCTTTGTTTATCGGTTGGGCATGAGAAGAYGATGAATATGGATACAATTCAAACAAAAATCTTATTCTCAAGGGAATGACACATGGTCTGAAATAGGAAAACATTACACCCAAAATAGAGAGGTTTTTGGGCCCCACCATGGAATGGCAGATGTTAGAGATACATGTACATACTATTGCCTTCAAATATTGTTTCGAGTCAAGGCATTTGGGTCAAATTATACAAATGAAATGTATAAAAACTGACCTTAATGCAATGATTGCTTGAAGGCAATTGAGTGTAACACTAATATCGGCTATTGCAGCCCCCCCCCCAACCCCCTCCTATGTGTAGGGCATGGATACCCTCATTGACATATACATACCAAGGAGATTTTGTGATTTTGAACCACTTTGCCAATCTCACGAGAAAAGTAAAATACCTTCTGTGGCCATACATGATATTTGAAGTCCCAATGTGTTCAAGAGATCAGGGCTAAAAGTAATGGCTGGGCAATGGACAATGTCAGGCCAAAATTGTGATTCACTTCTTTTGCTTGACTTCTTGACCTGTCAGATCTCCRTCCATTTATGTTAAACATATAACTATATGTTTAACAGACAAAAATTTGTGTTGAAGCATCCAAATACATTGAATACATATGTATGTGCAGTAATGAGTACTAATTTAAATAACAAGGTAAAAATGTATAATCTAGGTAAATAAACAAATACCTGTAAACCTAAATCTATGGACTCTTTGTTCAAATCAKAAAGCTAGTTAGAGTGTGAATGTTGCCAGGAAAAAAAGGCAACTGCAATAGAAAATGATCTAGAAATTGTAACTGTTAACTAATCCTGCACATAACATCCATCTTGTTACAGCCAGGGTATAGCTTTAGATTAGGATGGTTCAAATCACCCTCATCTCCTTCTCTAGTGTCACTGGATACTCCAGATGTTCGCACACAGACACACTTTGGATCCTTAGAACCAGGCTTGAAGTATTGTCTCGGGACACCTACCCAATTTCTACTAATGCCTCCGCTGAAAAAAGAAAAATGAAAATTTTCACAAATCTCCATTAAGTATTATTACTCAAAAGGACATGCAAATCTCAAGAGGGTAAGGAGATTGAGTGATTTTTTTAGTTTCCCACATAGTTGATAAACTGTTGCTATGGGAATATGAATCTATGCAACATCACACAAGATTGTAAGACATTTATTAGTCATTTATCATTTGGGGGACATCTATGTTGCCTAAAAAAATGAATGATAAAGAATAACGATTTAATAAAAAAGAGGGCTTAAATAACTATGGGTATCTAATAATATAAAATAACCTTATGTGTTTATTTATTTATTTTAAGCTTCTTCGTAAGACAATTTACTTGCCTTTCTTTGGAGCACCAGACTTCAGCACCTTCAGTTTGACTCCATTTTGAGTTACAAGGAGGGAACTTCTTATCTTCTCCTTTCTGTATCTCCTTCAGTCGTTTGCCTTCTTTAATCAAAGCTTTAGCCTGCTTCAGAGCGTCCGTTGGTTTGCCATTCTCATCGTAATATCTACCAATGACTTTACCAATGTAGRTATAATCTTTCCTGTAGAAGTCCATCCAGTCTTTTATACCCAACATCTCTTCTGGACTCAAACCTGACACATCATCTGTTGCCTTCTCCCTGTTAAACATCCCAGTAACAAACGATGGTGTTGAATCCCTCCCAGCAAACACGTTATAGCCACTACCTTTACCATAATGACGCCGACCCTTTTCTACATCGTACACTCTGCCAAGAATAGCAATATAGACGGGTATGTTGGAATCAGAGCCATCATGTTTAGCAAGTTCTGTGGCACTCATAACGACACCCTTCTTGCTTAAAGATGGTGTCTTGACTTCGTCTATAGCTTTTTGATTGGAAAAGTACAGCACAGCAATGCTRATAATGACAATAACGATGGGTAATGCGATGTAGTTCATGTACAAAGTACCAGTGGTGTTCTTTAACGACCCAGAAGTCCCAGAGGGAGGCTTCTGGTCTCTTGGAACAGGTTTGCTAGACATCAACTTCCCTTTACTTTCTTTTGATCTTTTACTGGTTTCTTSGCCGTCTGATGGTTCGAGTTCTGTTATTTTAGCCATTTACACTGTATCTTTGGCTGTTYGGACGAGATAAAACTTCTCAAGCTGCTACAAATTAATATTGATCAAGACCAAATGATTGAATACATCGATCAAGAGACAAGTTGTTGATTCTCTTGTTCAAACTGCACAGGGAACCCAAACATCGAACCAAGCCGCTAGTATAGTACGTACACGAAGTCTCATTTGCCTTTCTTCACTAAAAGTCGGAGGTTGAATTAAACTTATTTATGTATATTTTAATGTTTTAATAAAGAAGGAAGAACCATGCCAAAAAGTCCAACAAATGATTGGCATATTTTTTAAAAAGTGACGAGATTAGCTGTGGGTTTCCTGTGTTAGTAATTTGATAGTCGAACTTCACTTGAACCCACTGAACTG